TACTCCTGCGCTTTTAAGATTTGAATTTAGGTTTTATGATAGTGATACGATGTATGTAGTGTAAGCTGTAAACGACCAATTTGATTCAAATGAAGTCAGTAGATATTAGCAGAAGGGATCCTTATGTAAGATCAATTTGTGTCCAGTAGATTTATGTTCAGCAGGGCAATAGTGATAAGTGCCATAGTTTAAAATTAGAATTTAGTACTGTGCAAGCTGTGTGATAACGATTGTTAGGATGTCAAGTAATGTTTCAATGGTACTCTGCAATATTCAGATGTGTGTATGTTTTTAAATTGAAGTTGAGTTTAAGTATGAACAGTGCAGTGCTTTTAGTATACATATATGTTAAGACAATATGTTTATTCGTGTGTGAGTTGTGTGCATGTGTGGTGATGTGTTTAAATCTCGTAGTCATTATTATACAATAGTAACCGAATCAGTGAGCAAGAATAATCAGAGCCAATACTTGAGAATGGTATTAAATTCATAAAAAGTCTGTATGTTCCTGTAAGATAGACTGTCAATAAAAGAAGATACCCGTAGTAGATCCGATCAGGCTAGATGAAGTCTTGGTCAGCGCATTCAGGCTCAGAACTCTTTCCTATGACTGTCTGAACGTCAGAGCCCCCTGTGCCTGCACTCTCCACGTATTCTATGAACAGATCATCCACTTGTTCAAGTTTCGATATTTCTGGAAGCATGCAAATCGTAACTCTGTAAATTCATCTTGAGTTTGCACTAAGCTAACGGCATCGTAAATCCCCCTGAGGAAAGTAATTTACGAAGCCTCTGAGAAACAACATCATTTTTTACTTGCGAATGTGGGCGTAGCATATGTTAGTCATATATTACCAAAGTGACAATAAATGTTATATAGGTTTCTTTATGCGAATTGCTAAGATCATATTTAGAGGTGGTAATGCTGTTAGTTATAGATGTCCATATGTTTACCACATTTTTTATCTCAACTTTTATCGTAACTTCCTGCTGGATTGTCTCAACGCATAACCATGTTAGTCGTACCGTATGGGTTGATGTTACACTGTATGCTGAGTAGTCCGCTTAGTACGTAGTACTTGTGAGCTCCAAGTAGCGACAGTTAACGATATTTACTTTTAGTATTTACAGGATTCTGGAAGTTAACTCTAGCAAAAACAAGAAATACGCAAACTAGAAATAAGAATAAAGTAATGAGATAGTAAGTAGCTATAAGTGCTCAGCCAAACTCTTCTCAGAAGTAGTAGTTATGATAGACAGTGCCACATTTAAAACTGTATTCCAACTCCACTCAAAAAAAGCACTGATTATACTCATAGTATGTTTCGTTACTGCGTGGGCTCCGTCACAGTGAATTAGAGGCTATACAGTCTTATCTACGCTGCGTGATTATGCGGTTACTAGATGCGTAGAAGTGCATCTGTAAGCTTAGTAATGTAGTGGGCTGTGGTGAAAGCTATCTGTCTGGATGCTGGCAAAAACAACGATAGGATGTTAAAAACGAGATGGAGATATCTAAGGATTAATATAGATGAGTCTGTGGTATAGTAAGTAGAAGTGTAAATGTTTAGTTCGAGTAATTGTATGAAGCACTATGAAATAGATTAGACATTATAGCGACTATAGTTTCATACACAGTATCCAAGTATCAACAAGTGTGTAGTCTGTCAAGACTATCGTGATAAAGCATTGCTAGTAGTAAGTGAACACAGTAGTAGTTCTCAGTCAGTAACAATAGTTCATATTTTGTTACCTATGTCTGAGCAATAAAACTTAAAAATCGTCACAGTTAAGTATTACTTATTGAAAGTTAATTACTTTTATTATTTTTGATTTTTTATTTTAAGTTTTTTATCATAGCAGTTTGAAGGCTCAAATTTCAGCTTGAGCAAGTAGATATAAGAGCTTTATGGGTACACTAATAAGATAATGGTAAATAATGAGTATACTTGGTCTAGTATAAGACGTAAGCCAATGTACGTTTAGTCAGGTTAAAGCTATACAAAGGTTATCTAAGTTGCTTGAATTAAGGAAAACACAACGATTATCATCAGTAGGGTATAATACTCTCAGTACGTTGTCATTAGTAATCTACTCTAAATGAAAGTAGTACTAATACTCGTTAGTAGTAATTAGTAAAGTTAACATTAGTGTAAAGTTAGTAGTATAGACCTAGAAGTTATATGGCTTTTACGCAGAGTGCTAATGTCAGTTACGTTGTATATGTTCAAGATTGTATAGTCCAGCTCTATATGTTGCAACATCAAGTGGTTTTCGTTATGTTGGCATTGTTGACACCGTATCACCGTTATAAGTGTACTGAGAGGTCAGTGATTAGATATAGTAGAGTGAGTGCCTATGTCTAGATCAGTTTATGCGCTATACCAAGTCGGTTTGGACGTTAGTGAAGTCATATGCAGCTCATGCCTCGTGCGTAGTTTAATGTTTGTATAAACGTGTACGATAAAGTATTAGTAGCGATAGTACAGTTTATCAGCTT